TGAATTATGATGAATTTACCCCATGAACACTTGATTACCCCAAAATACTAAGTTGTGAGTTTGTCATTTAGGATTGGTTGATCATGGAAGCATGTGAAGAGATTAAGTCTATATTGATTTGGTTTATTGAATTATTTCTTCATGCTCAAATTGTAGTATCTAGGTGTCTTGGTGAATTGTGATCCATGACCTTGAAGGGCAATTTATAAGGTTAATGTGTGATTATGATGCTTATGTTTATTTATTGTGATTTCAATAAAAGTAATGTGATTATGACTATAATACAATGGTGGTTTTGTTGAAAGGTTATCTTCACTATACAACACTCACATTCATGAATGAAGAATATGAAGTTTCTATGGTTAAGTTAAGGATGATGTATTGATTGAGAGACTATTCTCAATTGTACTCTAATGAATGATAATGACATGTTGTGAGGAGATTTCGTCATAATATGGGATTCTTAGTTGAAATTTTATTCTCACCTTTGAATCTATGAGCTTCCTCAATGAATAAATTTTGGGTTTGAGATGGATACTCATCCATGAGTTGAGGAGGGTGTCTAGTAATAATCTTTTATCTCATAATAATAAACTAAAGTAATGAATGTCAAGTACTTTGTCGGGAATAATGCTAAGCATCGAGTGGATATGACTTGAGATGGATGTTCATCTGTGAGTTGAGACGAGGTATTCAGTAGCAATCTCTTGAGATGGATGCTCATCCGTGAGTGAGGCGAGATATCTAGCAGCAATCTCCTTATCTCATAACTATGTGCCCTCATAGGTTATAGCTAGTGGATCTACCTAAGCTAAAAATAATGCTCCTACCTTAGGCAAGTGTGGATCCTTTATTCAGTGTGGTAACACCGGGATTCCATTATTTGTTCACATGGTCAATGTCGGTTAAGGTTTACCCCCATAAAGAATGGTAATGAACTATGACTTCTCAAGAATGCACTACTTAGTGTTGGTGGCGTATGAGCCTTCATCCATGCATTGCACAAGTAGAAATTGAGAGTAGTCATGATATGTTCCTTTATGTTATAATGTTGTAGGATTAAGGACATGACTTTGTACCATGGTTACTCAATAACTCCTATGAAGTATGAGTGGTAGTATGGAATGTCATTCATTCATTGCACAAGTAGGTTTTGAGAGGGATATGATGTGTTTATCTAATGCATTAATGTCTAATGAAAACGAATGTTCTCCTAATGACGGTAAATGAGAATGTTGACTTAAAGGCTTAATGAAATGATGCATGATTAACTTGGATTTGTTATATTGAGTTCCTTTCCTTGTCATTACTTGTGAAATGTTTATGTTCCTTATGCATGAGTATTGTCTAAAGATGAGTATGAATAATGGTAAGTTCATCTATAGTGACCTCAAAGTTGTACTTAGTAGGAATAGTAGTATGTAATGCCTATCTTACATTGCACAAGTGTAGCTTAGGGTTACTTAAGGTAAAGGTATTAATGTGTGGTAATGGTTTATATGTTGAATATGTTGTATCTTATGTATTTTGTACTAAAGTTCGTGATGTTTTGACATATGCATGGTTTTCAACCAAAATGTCCTTTTTTAAGCATGATTTTTATATGGCTATCATACTTAGTACATTTTTGTGTGCTAACCCATATTTCTATATTTTTCACAATGTTTAGGGTTTGGACATGAGTATTGTTCTTGGAAGATAGGTTTCTTAGGTTCAAGGAGTTGAAGATTTGGTGAGTCCTCATAGCCTCGAGGACAAGACCCACCATGTTCCTTTATGTATTTTATTATCATGTTTAGAGCTTTGTATGAGTTATGTCCCAAAGTGTTATTCAAAGTCTTGTAGATGGTTGAAACAAAGTATAGAAAGACTTCCACTTTCTTTTACAAAAATTACTTCAATTGTAAAGAAAAATTTTAAATTCCACACTATTTTTCTATGTTCTTATGTGATGATGTGCTATGAGTCTTGTATGAGACTTTTCAGAGTCTTGTACGCCGTGTTACATCCGGGGTGTAAGCTCCGGTCAAAATACTCATAGCCACATATTGTTTTACAAAATACAAGGTTGCACTGAGATTGATTAAAACATAAAAATCAAGATGAAAGACTTTCAACATATCGGTAATCATATTAGGGGAGACCTCTTGCTCATGACGAGTTTGAAGTGCATAAAACTGTTTTTGCTTTAGAGCACTTGAACCCGAGCTAGTAGGTGAAACTGGCCTACCATCCTTTCTATTATCATTTTTAGAAGGAAAATCCCTCAAGTAGTGATCACTCTTGACACAAATAAAACAATTATTCATACGCATCAAGAATCTTTTGGATGACTCTTGCACACTTTTGACATGTGGGAATCGAAGAACCATTTCGACAACCATTTTTTCCTTGAGTTTTAGGTTCAGACACCTATTCTTTGTTGAACTTAAAAGTCGGAGTATTAAGAGAACCTTGACAGGAAAACCTTTGTCAAACTTAGAACGATCATGTCCATTGGACCTTGGATGCGAAAAGTCACCTTCACTAGTCTTCGCCCTTTTTACCTTCCTAAAATTTTCCATAAGTTTCTCCTATTTTATTTGTTGAACATAATTAATTAGAAAAGAGATTTTCATTTCCTTAATGAGCATGATGGTAAAAAATTCTTTAACTGCTATTTTGACAAATCCGAACGAACCTTCTCATTTTTGCCCTAGAGTCAGCAACCATAGTATGAGCATAACTAGGAAATTATGTGAACTTCAAGACTTACTCTTTCACACATATATTAGGTTGATGGATTCAAGTCTCTTTTCCTCTCTCATATAAAAGGGAATGATATTATTAAGGAAATCACCCTTAAACTCTTTCTTCTATTGGTTATAGCAAACTTGAGCAACACTTTTAAGTTGATAAGCGACTGATTCCGCCTTTTCTATCGGCATCACTCCCATGATCATCATTACATTGTATATCCCATCAATAAACTCTTGATGATCTTTCAACTACAGAGTATTCATCTAGTGAATTCTCTCTCTCTAGTTGTCATCATATCCACATTTGGATTCAGGGACAGGGAGAGTACAACCTCCCTATTGGCTTGGACCGTCAAGGCTTGAGCGAGTACTTGAAAAACATCTCTAAACTCTACATTAGTCACTTATTCGTCTAAGAGATCATCCAAAACTTCTGGAGCTTAAGGAGCTTCTCCGCATTTCTTCTAACATATACTCTTTGAGTGGCCATGTTACGACCCGGAACACTAGTAGGTAAAACTAGATCCTAACAAGTGTGTGATTGAGTTTGAAGTAAATGAACATAAATTAATGTATTTTGATTAGTTAAATTGACCAATGAACATGAATTAATAATTTAGTTTCCTTTGTTGGTGAAATTCATACTTTCAAGACTAATAAGTCTCGAGAATAAAATAGAAAAAATAGTATCATATATGCATTTATATTATAAAATGACAAATACTCTCTTTGTTCAACAATAATTGTCCACTATTTACTTTGCACACTTCTTAAGAAACTAGAAATAGAAGAGTAATAAGTATTACTCCACCCGTTTCACAAAGAGTGGCCTGGTTTGACTTGACACAAGTTTTAGTAAATAAAGAAGACTTTTAAACCTTGTGGTCCTAAATTAAAGTTATGTTAAATGTAATAAACTGCCCTTCAATCCCGTGGATTTAAACATGCCACATGGAAAACTGAAATTAAAATGTTACAAAAAAAAGAGTGTTATAAAATATTATAGTGTGAATGTCCACTACATTAAGAATTTACTCACCCATTATCTCCATTACTTTCTTCTATTATGAATATAACCATAACCTCCAACTTTATAACCATTACTCTTGTAAGCTTTCACTTTCATAACCTCCTCCATTATATTCATGTTAATGTCATATTTGTGACTAATCTTTAGCATGCCTCTAAGTTACACTATAAAATAGGCATAATGGTTCTATTGTATACACTTGAAGATTTGATGAATAAGAAATGCTCTCATCTTTTGTCTCCCTATTTCTATTGATTTATCTTCTATATTTCTTGTCTTATTTTGTTTTAGTTTCACAACACATTATCAGCACGAGTAGCTCATTCTCCGTCAAGAATTAATGAATGGTATTTCTTGAGTTTTATGAATCATACTAAATTCTTCGGTTGCTAGGTATACTTCATATCCTATATATAATTTATAATAACAAAGCTTGTTTGTAGTTATTATAAAATGGTTAGTAAATTATAATAATCTTCATATGTTTGAATTTATTTTAACTTGGAACTTATATACGATTCAAACTTGTTGTTCTAATTAATTGATTTTGCTCATTTTTCTCGTACAAGTCAAGTTCAGATTATATTTATGATTATTAATAATTATTTTTTGTTAATGCATTTGGTTCATTAAGGTATTGATTGAGGGTAAGACAGTGAATTCATGTTTCACCGCACCAAGTGGTAAGACATCGAGTTAAAGTCTTGGTGCACCATGATAATAAGAAGTTGGGTTCAAGTCCCATTGATTTATAACCAAAGTTGTCTTCATATGGATGAGACATTGGGTTCAAGTCGTAATGCCCTATAGTGATGATATGATGATGAGTAACATAAAATTTTATACTTTTGACTGAAAGTCATGAAATTTTAAGACATTGGGTTTAAGTCCTAATTCACTGTACCGGTGATATAAGAGAAAAGACATAAAATCTGACTATAACCACCTACTACAGATGGGTAGTCGGAAATCTTTGTAATTTTTCGACTACTATAATCGGTACATTAAGATTTATGTTTTTGTAATTTATTAAAAAATTTATCCGACCATGATTTAGACTATTGTAGTCATAATTTATGTGAAATAAAGTCAACAAAATAATTGACGAAGTATTTGATTACAGTGATCAAAAACTTATTAAATAATTAAAATATTATTTTTAATTTGCGACTACCGTAGTCGAAAAAGTTAAAATATTTTTAATTAAAAAGTAATTTATTTTCAAATTGGTAAAGTAATCTGAGGATATATCAAAACGGGTAAAGTAATCTGAGGGTAAATTTCTTCAATATTGTAGGTCTCTCTACTGAGGAAGGAAGGAAGGACGAAGATATCTTCTCAATTTGATAATTCAGAGCTTTCAGATCGTTTGTAAGAGGTAATGTAAACACTCTCTCTTAAAATTTACTTTCAGATTGTTTGTAAGAGATTTCATATTGCTTAAAAACTCTCCCTACTCTTTAGGGTTTCAGTGTTCCCAAAATTATAAGTAAAACGAAAAAAGACATTGAAATATTGTCGGGATCAATTTTTCCACCTTGCAATGTGTTCCAAGAATTCAAAAGAATCATACATTGGGCATGTTAGAGTGAATTTGAAATTTCTTGAGAGTAAGTACAAAATTTTCTGCATTGATTAAATGTATATGGCAAATATAAAGGGAAAAGCCATTTCGAGAGCTGCAATTCGAAAATCGTGTGGAAGCGAAAAAGTATATTGTTAAAGGAAGAATATTATGTATTTTTTTGTTGTTTTTATATGTCGGAGTTGGTATAATCGGAAAAGTAAAGATTTTGGAAGCACTAACCTTGAAAATTAATGGGAAGAGGGAAAATTGTAATATGAAGAGTGTCTTGTAGAAGGTACTGTTTTGGCTGTTTATAAATGTTGAATCTGGTATGTAGGGAAACTGGAGATGTTGGAAGTAATAACCTTGAATAGTTCTGGTAAGAAAATATATTGTAAAGGGAATTTCAAGAGTAATAACAACCTTGAAAACTTATGGGAATTGAAAAAATTGTATCACAGAGAGTTCAATAGACTTAAAAGGATGAGTGCGGTGTAAAAGATGAAGTTTTAGATTGTTTTCAGATGTCAAATTTGGAATAAAGGAAACAAGAGATTTCGAAAGTTAAAACCTTAGAAGTTTAGGGGAGGAAATATAGTAAATAAACCATTTCATGTATATTTAATAGGTGAGAGTGTCATTGGAAAGTAGCAGGGTGCTTTTGTATGTGTTTTGAAGAACTTGCCTAGCGAATGTGTCATATGCATGGAGGTCATATGAAATCTCAAAGCAATTAGATGTCTTTCATTTAAGTTATATGAAGCGAAGTATACAATTTTGCATTAATCTGAGAATTTCCTTTATCAAATCATATCTTCATGACATGAGTAGTTCAATAGCAGATTAATATTGCTTCTTAACTCTTACCTTTTGGTGTTCTTGTTAATTCAATACTTTCAGTATGTTATTTTAATACCATAAAACTATAAAGTATACACAACTAAAACAAAGTTAATTAACTTGAATATCCAAATGTACTATGTAGTCATGCTAAGTTGTTCTTTTTCAGTCCTATTACTTAATTGTTGGCAAGGCAGTTGGACAACAAATGGACAATAGAAAATAATGTCATCCAAGAAAAAATAATATTGAACACTCGTATTCTATGTAATTTCCTTTTCATTAACAATGCTAGCGTACAGATGCGTTCATGACATTTGTGTATACTTAAAAACAAATCTCCATACCCCACTTCACTATCTTGAGTTAAATTCCCAGATTTTTCCATCACAGAACCAGGCAGAGTGTTGTTTGTTTTCTACCATTAAAGAAATCAAGAAGATGCTTGTGAGTTTATATTTTTTTTCCTTTTTTAAAGAAGCAGCTTCACATCTCTTTAGGGTTTCAATTTTGCTGAGAAGCTGTATATTATTGTTGCCTCGGTATTTCTCGCTTTCTATATTTTGACAATTCTAACTTAAGGTTATGATTTCTTGCGTTTAATTTTTCCCTAGACCACACTTTGTGGGACTACAATAGTTATTTGTTGTAATAACTTAGTTTCGTGATATCTAAGACCTTTGATCCATTAAAGGATTGTTTTTTTTTTGAAATAGATGATGTTTCAGTGTAAGTTTTTTTACTATCCGTTACAGAGGACATTACTTCTGTTTGTATATCTTGATGAAGTGCATTCTGAGTTTCTAATTTCGCTCATGTTGAGTAATTTGGATTACATATATTCCTTGACCCCTAGTGAGATTGATAGTTACGCCTCACTTAATGTTGTTGGGTACCTAAATCTGTGTTCTGCTGAAGATATATCAAATTCAATAGTAGTCATATTGTAGGGGTAACTACGATTGATGGCTTGTTTGAGGCATATTTTGATCAATGTCTTTCTTGTTGTTTTTATGAAAATGGAAGTGGATCATATTATTGGTATTGTTAGAGTTGGTAGTTATGGTAGGAGTGGTAGGCGATTATTTAGTAGATTAGAACCTTACAGGAAAAGTGGTGTTGAAGCCAAGTTGGAGGGAATTTAAATAATTATAGGCTAAAGTCTTAGTTAGCAACTTACTGTATCCTTAGTTTTGGCTAGTGCTAGAAAGTTAGTTTCACCCTTCCATATGCAAATGATGCAAAATTGTTGGATAAATATATAGGAGCAAATTATTAACTAGGATACATAATTCTTAGATTTGTTTTTGTGGAAACAATGGACAAATGCTTCAGAAGAGTAGCAAGTTTAATATAATGTTCATTCTATTTGTTTTTTCTTCAATCAACAAATTAGAGTTAATTTATGCTTAAGTTTCCCTACAAAATTGGATTGATACTCAATTTTATCCATTACTCTGCAAGTTTCTCCTCTATACTCTCGATTATCTCTCTATTCACAACCGGTGAGTTCAAACTTTAAGCTTTTCTATTTTCACTAATGAAGTACTGAATATGCTTATATATAGTCTATATTTTTTTGTATTTTCCACTTTCTTAACTAAATTGTCAAGATTATATCTTTAAAAGTTCTATAATATGTGATGTTCTCGTATTTTCTTAAACAAGTTAAAGTCAAATATGATCAAATTATGTAGTTGTACTGTTGTTTTTTTTTAATATGTGATGTTCTCGTATTTTCTTAAACAAGTTAAAGTCAAATATGATCAAATTATGTAGTTGTACTGTTGTTGTTTTTTTCTAAGATAAGTTCTCATTTTTTTTATTTGTATAGATGGAATTTGCACATAGTAAATGGATGTATGATAGAACTCATCCTAATCGTGTGGGATTAAGGGTGGAATTTATAAATGGAGTTAAAGAGTTTATTGCAAAAGCAAAAACTAGAAATGATTTTCTTATAGAAGGAAAAATTAGGTGTCCTTGCGCCAAATGCAAATATATCAAGTTATTAAAACCAGATAAAGTTGAATTTCATATTTTGAGAAGGATTTATGTATACTTATTATGTGTGTACTGCTCATGGAGAGAATTACGTCAATGTAGCTAATGTTGATTTTCAGAATGCGTTTGATGGTGTGGATAGTAATGTAGAGAATAATAATATTGAAAATTCTCGATTCAGTGAAATGTTGAGGGATGCTTTTGGGATGTTCCCAGGGGTTCAATCAGAACCAAATGATGAGGCTAAGCGCTTCTATGAAGAGTTAACTGAAGCTATCCGGCCATTATATAAAGGTTCAACAAATTCAAAGTTGTCTGTTGCTGTTAGGTTGTTAAGTATAAAGTCAGATTATTCAATTTCTCAAGCGGGAATGGATTCCATCATTGGGATTATGAATGAGCTTAATCCAAGTAAACTTAACTTACCTAAAGATTTCTATACGACAAAGAAGATGGTTTCTAAGTTAGGACTTTCATTAGAAAGGATTGATTGTTGTGAAAAAGGTTGCATGTTATTTAACAAAGATGATGCAACTTTAGAAAATTGCAAATTTTGTAATCAAGCTCGTTATAAGAAAGTCACAAATGTCAAAAGGAAGAAGGTTCCAGTAAAGACAATGCATTACTTAACCCTTATACCTAGGTTAAATAGGTTATATGCATCAATGAGATCGGCTCTTCATATGAGATGAGATTATGAACATAAAAGGCCACCTAGTGTTCTATGGCATGGAAGCATTTTGATAGAGTGTTTCCTAACTTTGCTAGTGAACCTAGAAACATTAGGTTGGGATTATGTACTAATGGATTCACTCCATTTGCGGTCTCTGCGGCACCATATTCATGTTGGCCAATATTTTTATTACACCGTATAATTCCCCCTCCCCCCCCCCCCCCCCCGAGTTATGTATGACAAGTCCATATTTGTTCCTAACTTTCATTATTCCCGGTTCCACACAATTCAAAAAAGTTGATTGACATATACATGCAGACTTTGATCGATGAGTTGAAATTATTGTGGAATCAAGGTGTGGAAACATATGATGTATTTCGTAAGCAAAACTTCATATTGCGTGCAGCTTTGTTGTGGACTTTAAATAATTTTCCTGCTTATGGAATGTTGTCTGGGTGGTCAACTGCTGGTAAGTTAGCCTGTCCATGTTGTATGGAAGGCATCAAAGCCTTCAAATTAAAACATGGAGGTAAGATTTCATGGTTCGATTGTCACCGTCGATTCTTGCCAATGCATCCTGAATTTAGGAGAAATACTACTGGATTTATGAAAAAGCAAATTAATTTTGAAGAACCACCTGCAACTTTATCGCCTGAAGAAGTGTGGCATAGATTTAGGGATCTACCTCAGGTAACAAATTCTCCACAATCTAAGATACCTGGTTATGGTGTTACACATAATTGGACAAAACAGAGCATATCTTGGGAGTTGCCTTATTGGAAGCATAACCTTCTTAGCCATAATTTGGATGTCATGCGTATTGAAAAAAACTTTTTTGATAATATATTCAATACTATGATGAGATCAATAACAAGACAAAAGATAATTTGAAGGCTAGGATGGACTGGAAAGAATATTGCAAATGAAGTGAGTTGTACTTGACATACCTTAACAACAATATTCAAAAGCCCAAGGCTAGTTACACACACACGCACACGCACACGCACACGCACACATGCCTACTTCTAAACAAGATTCATCATCTCTTTAACTAATCAAAGTTGTTATTTTGTCGGACAGTTATTTTGTTGGTACATATGGGAATGATGTTGTTTATTCTAGGTTTTCTGGGTGGTTTAGAGAATATGTAATTGTTACCTGATAATAGTAAATATTTTCCCATCAATTACATGTATTTGTAGAATTCTAAATTTTGTTTAATTCAATATAGGTTCATAATCCAATTAATATCGTGGGCGACGTGAATGTGCAATTTTTACGAGATATTTCTTGGGGACCTGATCATACAGTTAGAATAATGTCCAAGTACTTCATCAATCTGTATAAATTTCATACAGAAGAATGGTCCAAAGGCAAGAAAACTAATAATAGTGGGGTGTGGGTGAAAGGTAAGGGGGATATTCATTATTATGGTGTTCTTCAAGAAATTATAGAACTCGAGTATCTTGTTGGTTGTCCAAAGAAAAAGATAGTAATCTTTCGGTGCAAGTGGTATGGTCCTGATTCTAGTGGTACAAAGGTTCATCCTCAATACAAAATAATTGAAATTAATCACACAAGGCAATAACATTTCTATGATCCATTCATCATTGCACAAAATGTGAAACAAGTGTATTACATTCCTTATCCTTTCTGCAAGAATAAATCATTGTGGCATGTAGTTATAAAAACAAAGCCCGTGGGGAGAGTGGAAGTTGAGGATGCATTGGATGTAGCGTATCAAAATGACATTTCAAGTGTTTAAACAATAGTAGATGATGAATTAGCACGTGAATTGCATCTTAGTGAAGGCATCTATGAAGAATTTGATGCTACTGTCCTTCAATCAAATCCAAATAATTATGGGGAAGGAACATCAAAAGTTAATGAGGAGGAATATGAAACTGATGAACATGAAACAAGTGATGAGGAACTACTTGAAAAAAAATGAAATAAGTGATGAGGAAGAATTTCATAGTGATTATGAATCAAACAAAGATGATTGACTTTTTTTGTTTGATGTGTTGACAAATTTGGATCATTATTTTATCCAATGTTTTTCTCTTGAGTTTAGTTCATATATTGGAATACGTTGGATGTTATAATGTTTAACTTGAGCTTAATGTGAGCTATATATAATTCATTATCTCAAAGTCTAGATTGTCTAAGATAAGTTTCTGTTTGAGTATTTTTGTATTTTATAACAAAAGAACGATCTGATTTTTTTCTGATTGAGTATTACCATAGTCAAAGTGCTTCTATTTTATCATGATTTGTTATAGGTAGTTTTAAGGTGATTTTATTTCCTATAAGCTATAAATTTTTCAAGTAGTACATCACTTTTAGTTATTTTACTCAATCATAATGTCTATGTTTTAATAACCTTTATTGTCATTAATGTAACTTACTGAGATGAAACAGGTGTATAGAAAAATGTTGCGATCTTTACTTATTGTGCACTTGATACTTATCCTTATGCTTATTTTGAGTGTTTTTTTAGAAAATGAAGAATATATCTGGAAAGCTTCGAAAGCAAACAAATAAAAAGAAACAACAAAATTCTCAATCAGCTTTATTGCCACCGACAAGTCAATCAAGTCAGCCATGTGCAGGTCCTCCTAAGGAGGATTCCTTCCCATCAACATTTCCTCCTCAAGGGACTTCACTGCCACATACCAAAACATCACTATCATCTATCATTCATTCTCAACAAAATTCACAGCCCCCTAGTTTTCCTCTCTTTTCGACATCATTACCTCCTTCCTTTTTTAGTATACCACCATCTGGGCCTATTAAAAATAACTCCACAACTTCTCAGGGAAGGAATACAAGTCTTCAGGATAATATTGTGCCCACGCCTCATATAAATTCTTCTTTGAGTAATCGTATAAGTCAAAAAGTCTGCTCCCATCAATGCTTCCACCATCGACTCAAGCTGCATCTCCAGAATCATCGACACGTAGCATATCTAGGTCAAATATTGGAGTTGATATACCAGTAGCACCATCTGTGATCCATAGTACTTCTGCACCAGACCAAATACTCAAAATGCTAGAGATTATGATGTTTTTCATAGGTTCATTATCACTCCTGATGAGTATGAGTAAGTTATTTCTATGTTATTATTAAATTTGTAAATGTACTTCTTACACGATTAACTTTAATGCAGCTTTGCGCCATCATATCTTGTCTCGCATATGATTTCAGAATCTATTACACCATTCTCCAATGATGCTTGGGGCAAATGGAAAGAATTTTTGTACAATATAAGGGAACAAATATGGAATCAATTTAAGGTACAAATAAAATTTATTCTTATACACCTTATAAATTATATAATTTCTAATCTGATGATATTTATTGTTAAGCAGATGAAGTGTGTATGGTAGCCATGTTATGAGAAAAAATAAATTCCAATTATGAGAGGAATACTCGTATATGAATTATAGAAATGTTGTTTTGAGGCTCGAAAAAATGAGAAACCCGATTTCCTACGACAAGACGTATGAGTTAAATTTTTAGAGAAATGGAACACTTCTGAATTCATTTACACACCGGAGGTTCTATGAGTTTCGCAGTCCACAAACGAAAAATGGTAAATTTTTAAATTGAATTTCCTTAATTTAAATTAATGTGATTGAACTACATATTACTTTTATTGCATACAAAGTTAAAAGGTGAAGAGGTGTCTAATGTTGAGGTGTTTGAGGAGACCCATAAGAAAAAAAATAAGGATGGTACAAGGGGAGAATGGATAGAGTCGCGTGCAGAGGAGACTTTTGTAAGTTACAAAACTTTAATATTGTATTATTTGACACAAGTAGAGTTAATCAAGTTCCTGGAATGTTGTAGCCATGTCGAATTTTTGGATACAACTTATCTATCTATTGACAAATGAATTTTAGTTCTAATCCCTGGTTTAAGATCAGAGATTAAATGCAGCAATAACTTTAAGACCAACTAAGCTGAGCGTAGAAAAATGCAAAAGCAACTACTGCTTTGAGTAAATGATGAAGTACCCATCAAACTTCCCTCTAACTAAGTTCATTCTTAAGAAGAAACTGTTAATTCTTCCTAAGTTATCAAGATCACCACTTAAGGGTTCTAATTTTAAAGTATCTCTGATTTGCCATACGAACAAGAATGAAATGGAGTCGAATAGAGCAGAGCAGATACAGATCATCCATCCGACTAATCTTTGGGTTTGTCGTGCTGTATATGACATAGTATAGTATATTTACTTGGACTAATTACTGAAAGTTCCTCATGATTAAGGTTGTGGGAGAGGTGAAGACGGTCTCAATAAACACCAAGAAATTTTAGTTGATCCTTGTTAGAAGATTTTCACATGAGACATTAATTGGTAATAGCTGGAAAGTGAAAATTACTTATGGTTAAAATTCATAGGGAACTAAAGAACAGTAATTACATTAGGTAAGGAAATTATATTTAGGATTTTACAATCGTAGAAAATTAACAAAGTCGAGTAGCATGTTCCGCACATGATGCAAACAAATATAAATGAGACATAGAATGAAAAATTTGTCGAAAGTCAAAATGAGAAAACTAAAACATGTGATTGAAACAGTAATTCATCTATAGAGCACAAAACAAAGAAGTTTCTTGTCCTTGAAGAAGATAATCTAACATATTTCACCATTTGTCTCACCCATTTGACAGAAGGAATAATTTCTTTCAAACCATCTTGCACAATTAGATTAAGTATATGAGTCATACATCTCACATGGAGATGCTTACCTTCCATCAAATTAGTTCCCCACATACCTAATTTTTTGAATAACTCTAAAAAATGCCACATCATTTGAAGAGGCATTATCAACTGTAACAGTAAAAACGTTATCCAACTTCCAATCAAGTAAACAATTACTAATAGACTCAGCCAAATGCTCACCTTTATGACTATTGATAGGACAAAAATTTAATATTCTTTTATGAAGCACCCAATCCCTATCAATAAAGTGAGCAGTCAAACACATATAATTGATTCTTAACACCGAAGGTCTATGTGTCTGTTGTGAGACAAATTCTTGATTGTATTTCTCTTAAATATTGTTCAAATTTATTCTCAATTCACCATAAACTTCATAACAATCCCTTGTTATGGTTCTACGAGAAGGAATATGAAACAAAGGTTGGACGTTACTCATAAACTTTTTAAAGCCTTTTTTTTCAACAAAACTAAAAAGTAGTTCATCAAAAACTATCATCTCAACTAAAGCTCTCCTACATACCTCTTGCTCAAATTTTCAAGTATCTAAATTGTTACTTTGAATATTTAATAATTTTTGAATACCGGGTGCATTAGTCAGAGGTTTATACACTTTACACCGATAAGTCAAATGTTATTTTAGTCCACTTGTTCCATTTTTTGTTGTATTGGCAGCATAATATTGTTTACAATGTAAGCACTTTGCTTTAACTAATACACCATTTTCAAAAATCTTTTCAAAGTGTTGCCAAACAGGAGATCTAGGATCCATTTTTTTTTTGTTATTTCTGTGTCAATTGACGGATCATTGCTATTACTAGGTGTATTTTTCATAGATTTAGCCATACTTATTCGACTTTGATCAACTACACCCATATTTAATTGATTTTGTTCATCCATCTATATATAAAAAAAATTCACAATAAATTCACACTAACTAGTAACAAAAACAAAATCAGAAAGAAAAAGAATGAAAGAAGTCAAGAAAAAAAAAGAAAATTACAAAAACAAACCAGATTGGGCAGTGGGCTGGACGCCGAACGCCGGGCTGCTGCTGCTGCTGGAGACGTCTGCTGCTGTTGGAGCCTATAGGCTGCTACTGCTGGCGGGCGGCTGCTACTGCTATTGGCCGGCTGCTGCTGCTGGTGCTGCTTGGAAGATTATTTAACATTTATAATTATTAATTAATATAATATAATATATAGTATAATATTTTGGCTTAAACCAAAATATCAAAAATTAAAATAATACGTACCGAAAATTGAATTGAAATACCGAAAAATATAAAAAAGTAAACCGTAACGAACCGAAAACCGAAATATCGTAATCAAAATTCTGAAAAGTTTTAGTTCAGTTCGGTGTTTCGACTTTCCGGTGTGTATGCTCACCCATAGTAATAAAATGTTTAGATATAGTTTTAAATCAAAGAGAGTTAAAATAATAGTAGTAAAAAGGGAATATGAAATCGTGATAAAAAGTGACATTTAAAGTGAGTAGCTTCAATGAAGATGAAAATGAATCTTTGAAAAAGAAAGAAGAAAGAAAAAGAAAAAAATAATAAGGAAAAAAAGTTAAAATAATAAGAAAAAAATGTATTTTATAGTAAAATACTTTCAAAAATAAAATTATATTCATTTTTTAGTTTGTTCAATCTCTTTAAGAGAGTGCATACACTTTTCCTGCCAGGTGGACAATAAATGATGTAATAATATCAGTTCAGAATTGTTCAGGGGGTAATAGGACACTTGCACAGTTTAGGTGTCTTTTTGAAAACTCGGGACAACTCCAGGTGTCACTTTATGTCTTTTTCGATGATATAATGATGACTAGCATAAAGTTTTTGACTGGAAGTCATGAAATTTGCCCAATTAATTTGCTCCATTCTCTTATGTGAATGTGGTAGCAGTGTATTAATATGTCTGAAAATTACAAGGGGTTGAATGTATGAATATGAGTATGGTAAAATGTTAATGATCATCGTTGTGATAATTAAAAAGAATAACATTATGGGTTCTTAAGATGTTCCTTCAAATATGAAGGTAACTTTGTCCATTAAATTTGTATAATAGGTTATTGTTCACATTGTTTTTTAAGATTGTCCTTCAAATAAAGATACTTGTTAAAAGTAATTTTTAACCATCATAGTGGTATGAAAATCTATTGCGCACATTGTTGTTGACGCAACCCAATTTGAAAAGTTTTGTAAATCCTCCATCAAAATAAAGGAATATAAAGTGGTAGTACATTTGGTACATTTGACCTCTTAAAGTGATGACAATGAGTTTCTAATAAAAACTTGTTGAACATGTACAAATGAATATAGTTCATTTCTTGAAGAAAATATGGCTTGTGTTCGTATGGATAAGAGCATGTTCATGTATTGTTGGATAATGTCACATCTCACCTCTACGGGAGGTTTGAGAAATTGAAAAGAAATACTTTGACATAAATGATTATTTCTGCATATACTTTGAATACATCACAAATATTGTGGTATGTTTTATCATAAATTATTGATACAAAAGAAAGAAATAATTCTTTTATATAAAGGTTATGGTCATGACCAAAATAAATATTATTGTGTGGCAACACAAATTTATCATTGATTGTCAATAAATAAGTCTTCCATGTAATAATTTTATCCATGTCAATACTAAAAAATTTCTCCTTAAAGGAGATGGTCACCATAAGAATGGTATTGTGAAATTTGTGGTCGTACACAAACTTAATTAAGAGTTCTGGAAGAACTAATTTGTTACTATCCAGAAATGAAAATAGTTCATAATATTGAGGTTGTAGTAAGTCTAAATTTTTTGAATGTTTCGGATGAATTGAAAAATATACTATATTGAGACTGTAAATTATTGAAAGATTAAATATCTTCGAATCACTACAATCAAAACAGGTGATGAATATTTACATGAAAGGTTACCTGTCTTTCTCTTATTTGTAGTATATCATTACATGCATGACGATGAAATCAGATGCAAAAAAACTAGGAGTTTACTAGAATAAATATCAGTTGGCATAACCGGTTGACCATTTTGGTTCAAATTTGATGCAAAAGAATTGAAAATTCATGTGGTTATATGCTGAAGAAAGAAAAGATTCTTCAAGAATCCTCATGTATTGTTTGTTCTCATAATAAAATTATCATTGTACCAGTTAAGGTTGGAATTATATCCCCTAAAATTATTTGAAACATATAAAAAGATGAATAAGGACTCGTTCACCTGCCATATGGACCACTTACTATTATGATTTAGTAGATGCATCTATGGTGTGGTCACATGTGCATTTGTATCAACTTACAAATTTTGTTTTTGTAAAGTTGTTTGCTCATATTGTTAAATTAAGATCATAGTTCCAAACAATAAAACTATGTTGGTAATACTGATTGGCTTAGCAAAAATTGTTTGCCTCGAATTATAGCTAGACAATTGATTATCAGAACAAATCTCTCAAATAAAATTTGGTATGAGATAAATTTATTTAACATGTATGCGTCAAGCCAACAAGGTTATCCCATCACAATTGGTTCAGGGTCAGGAACCAAATAATTTCCATCTAAAAATATGATGTGTGAATATATGATTTTATTACTCCACCACGCACAAAGATGGATCCCCAAATGAGGTTGGGGCTAAATGTTAGATTTCCTAACATTATGGGGAGATATGTTTACCAGCTGAGATTATGTATGTGATGAATTATCTAGATCCTCGTTGGAAAAAAAAAAGTGAACTTGAAGTTCAAGAGATAATTCATTTGCAACATGTTGCAAATAATTTACTAGATGTATTTGCTAACCCAATATTTTGATTAAGCTAAAAATGCTCCAATAAATAGTCCCCAGAGAACAAAGT